AGGTTCCGGCTGACCCCAATGGTTAGGTCGGGAAGGTAGGTTCCGGCCGACTCCAACGATTAGGTTGTAACCGAATCTCTTACCTCTGCTTGTTATTCGTCCACCTTCTGTTCTTTCTGCTGGATTACCGTGTTCCGAACATCCTCCATGTGGTCTTGAGATTCCATTCGGATGCTATGGCACCTCGTACTTTCGTTCACATATTCTAGGTTGAATAGGATTCGTTTGTCTTTTAGTTCCTCTTCCATGTTGTCATCTATATGCACAGTCACCATTAAGTTGCCCAGTGTCTTGTCCGATCCATCGATCTTTATTGGTAAAGTATTTGTCATCCGGTGCACGTAGGTTGCGTCCTCTACGTTTGCCAACATCTCACGAAGGAGCTCTGCAGAGTCTTGGTCCATCTGTCTATCAGCCTCCCATTTCGCGTTAGCTTTTTTTACTTGATCTAGTTTGACTTGTGTGGTACGGAGTTCGCGCACTCTTTCCCAATACGACCGAATTTCCTTGATGTCGTGCTCCATGTCGCGGGTAATCTGAGCCTCTATCATCTCTAACGTCATGGGCTCCATAGTCTTGGGAATAGCTTCCATTGCTCCCCTTGGATTAATCAGCATAGAGCTTGTTTCGTCCGTATTCCAAGTCGTTATACCGTGAGAGTTGCTTGCCAGGTCGTATAGTCGCTTTAATATCGTTCTCTTAGTATTCACAGGATTTTCCGACGCTCGATATTCGCTTGTATACTCGCTCCGTGATACTGAGCTCTCTTCTCGCGCTCGACTCGTACCTGTTTTGCTGTTGCCTCTCCCTTCTGATAGCTTGGGGGTACTCTCCTGGCTGTTTACCGCGTGATTTCTTGCCTTGAGCGTTACCTCGTGTTGTTTTCGAACTACATATTTGTCACGCGTGCCTATTATCCTTTCTCTGCTTTCTTCCTTTCTTTGTAAGTGATTCTCATTTCGCGGCTCCTCGTCTTCAGTGGTGCTCATTTCCACATCCACTATCTCTGGCTTTTTCACCTGTGTTTTTTGGTCCTCAGCCTCCTCTTCATCTTCAGTTCTCGATCTGGTTCCTTTATCAGTGTTTTCTTCCTCACTGATGATTTGCGTATGCCATCGTGTATATTTCTTCTTCGTTTTCGCGATACTGATAAAATTTTGCTCCCAATCCATCTTTCGATGTATCTATGAAAATTCCGAATCTATGTCCCGGTTATATGAGAAACAGATTTTCAGTTTGGTTAAAGGCCTGCTTGATGTCTTCGAAAGCTCCTCTTGCTCGCGTTCTGTCCACACAAACCGTACTTCCTTTTGTAACAATTAATCTATTGGCCTAGTCATCCTTGCCAAGTTGCTAATGAACCTTCGGTCCCAGTTTACCAACCCCAAAAAAGCTTGTACTTGCTTTTTGTTCGTCGGTGGGTTGAAGTTTCTTATCGTCGCTTTCGTTTCCTCGTTTATTTCCGCCTTGATCCTCGTGAATTCAATTCTTTGGAAAACTCTAGCTTTGCTGTATAATAATAATAATAAAGTATAGTCACAGAATATACGTATAAAACGTATATATATTTAATTATAAAGTACGTATATTATAAATGACGAACACTGCAGAATGTTAGTGTAGCCACATATCTTTTAATTAATAGAATTTATGTTTTACAGTATGTCTTCATAAAATTTTTTTGTCCTGATATCTGTTTTTAACGGCAGGGGGAAGGAATAAATAATAATAATACGAAACAGAATTGCTTGGTATACTTCTTAGACCTTGATTTAAAGTAGAAAAATATTGATACTTATATATATTTTGTATATATATATATATATATAATATATGTACATGTATACAAATCAATACAATTTATTCAAATACAAATTGTGCGTTTTAAGATTTTTATAAAATTTTGTCGCAATAAGTTGAAGCAAGTATGCGGGTAAGTATGTATATACATTTCCATCTCTTTATGATAATTATAAAGCGAGGGCTATTTTAATCTTTCTCGTGAAGCGACGAATTTGGGCTACACTAAAGAGTGAGTGGTGAGCGAAGGAAAAGCGGACGAAGTGCTATAATAAAAGCCATTAGGATCAGCACCACGCATATTACCTTCGTTTAAGATACTTATAGGCTGAAATGCGTGCATCGTTAACCGTGCGTCTGTATTTACGCGAGTGTCAACGTGGAGTCTGCGAATGATAGGAATAAATTTAATAAATAAACCAACGCGGGCACATGTGCTTGAAACGCAGTGGTGGGTCTTATTCCCACGAGTTCAAAGAGCGTCCGTAATGTCCACGTTCCCACAAAAAAAGGATGTACGCGCGACGAGGCATGAACAGCGAGTATAATGGCGTACATTTAGATCAACTTCGCGGACGAATGTTGGACGCGAACAGTCACCTTGAGAATCGCATTATACTGATTATACGAACATGCATCCCTGCAACATCGATTTTTCATGGATATATGATTATGAAAGTTGATGATGATTTGCTCAATTGATAAAAAGGCAAATTCGATGCATATCATGTCTTGTTCAAGCTCAAGGCTAAGTATCACGATAAACTGGTTTATGTCAGTTCCAATACTCCGATATGGAAATGCAAATTCGTGCGGGTCTGCATCAATGTAACAATAATAAAGAGAGTACCGTGAATAAAATGGTTTAATAAGAAAGCTGTTCGATTTTAAGTGACGCATACTTATAATATCTTCGATCACAAGCTATTTCCAAACTGAAATCTTCTTTGAAAGTTCTCTTTTAAATTAATTCTTTTATATTGTTTAATATAAAATTATTTTATATTAAACAATATAATTATAAACAATATAATCGTATTAAAGAAATTAAATATTAATTTTTAATTATATACTATACAAAGATTTAGATATATTTAATACCTTTTTTATTTATTATTTTTTTATTTTAATCTTTATGGTTATTTCTTTAAACTGTGGCGGTTATATCGCCAGTATCCTAGCAAAAAGAGAAATGCAATTTAAATAGATAATTATCATCGGGAAAATACCGTGTTCTCGAGATCGTGTGAGAATACGCGCGAATATTGGAGATCTGCTCAGCTGTTCAAGTTAGAAAAAAAAGGACAACACAGAAACAAACACGTGACGGTTAAAGCAAAGAACGTAAACAGCAAGGAAAGCGAACATTGACTGACGCTGAGATGTTACTTTTATTTGCAGCTTAAATCTAATATTAATACAATAAATAAATAGAATCCGACACTGCGGTCGGGTGCAATGGTGCACATGCCGTGAATCGTCGGAAAAGGCAATCGTTGCCTCTCAGTACAAAATTAGAGAGAATTAATCGAAGTTTACTTTTTAAATTATAACGTCGAAATAATAACTTCTCGAAAGATCGAACAACAAAAACAGTGGTTCTCCGAGCTGGAAGGAGATTAGGAGAAAGGAATAAGCGATTCCTCCGTTAGTTAGCGCTCAGCGAGGAAAGACGTGTAAATCCGCGGGCTTAAAATAAAGGCGTATTTCTCTAGATAATATCGGAATCAAGTTTTTCTGCCTCCGATCCTGATTATCATCTTCCTATTAACTGCGATAACGAACCGCTAAAAAACTTTTATATATATAATACTAGCTTTAAAATCTTTTAGACACGTTATTCTTTCGATTTTTATAAAACAGTTTGCTTGATTATTATCATCTTATTTTAATTTTGATTTTAATTTAACAAATTTCATCTCCAATGAAGACGATATTACTTCGTCCAGCTTGACGGCTCTGAGAGAAGATAAGCCGCTGTAATTAAAGCTATTTAACTCTTCCTCGGTACTGTGCTGACGTAGAAGCGAAGAGCCTGGAACGGTAATAAATTCACCAATTACTGTAAATTGAAGAACATATATATATATATATATATATATACACACATATATATATACGCGGGGGAGTAGGACGAGCGAAAGGGCATTCGCTTTGTATTGTTACTGCCTTTCAAACGCTTTCCTCGTAATATGCAGCTTAAATACCAATCGATATTTTTACGACTTATCTTATTATTGAATTTTAAAATTTGAACAGAAATTTTATCGTAATAGTCAATTGGATATACGTGCTTGGAATATTTTCCTGGAGAATTTAATAATTGATATCGGTCCGGTATATGCGATTTTAGTCGCTAAATATGTATAATAAAAGAAAGAATTCACAAGAATAAAATAATGAATATTTTATTAAGTACCTTGATTATGTCAACTCGATTTAAACTGTGTTAACAGAATCCATTAGTACGCATAATGAGATTAATGTAATATAAAGTTTGCATTATTTCTGCGAGTTTTGTTTTTGCGATTTATTATATAATCGAGATTCACATAGGTTTTTTAATATTCCTACAATTTATATTTTCCTTCTGATGAAATATTCAGTATAAACCAGGACTCACATAAACTCAATGCACTCAATTTAATCTTTTGACCGTCTTTGGATTATTTATGTTCTTATTTATTATTAACTTATTGCTTAGAGGCACATGACTTCGAAAGTCGCTTCGGGTGGAAGTTGTACGTCCCTAAACAGAGGGGGAGGTGGGGTGAAAGTCGTTTTGCGTGGAAGTTGTATTCCTTGAATTCATCTCCCTTATACCTCTCTCTCTCTCTCTCTCTCTCTCTCTCTCTCTCTCTGTTTAAAGTTATCTGACTCTTCATGTAAAGCAGTAAAATAATTACTAACTTTGACTGTTAATAACTTTTTAACGAATAACGAGTAACGACTAAAACCTGTCATTCAGGGTCATGATCTTAATAACATATATCAAGGTCATTGGGGGTGCTCATCTAATTTAAATTTTTACTTTAACTTTTATATCATGAAACCTAGGTATACATATCTTTGTATTCTTGTTGAAGGATCTTTTTATTCCAAATGGCTTTATAATTCTTCTTATATGCAATTTTTATATCGCAATTTATTCAAAGACATTTTCTTTTCTAACCAAAGTCATAGTTATTTAATTCTCCTTCAAAACATTATTCAGAATGTTACAAAATGTGACAAAATTGTGTTACGTCCATTCAAGTGTTACCACAAAAAATTAAACATTTGACGCTGCTGCTTCCTAGCTTAGTTACCCAGGAAAAAATGTTATGTATATATATATATATATATGGACATATTTTATTATATACAATTGTATATTTTGTTATATATAATTTATATATCTTAGCGTCAAGACACTATTGTGTTTCCAGATAGATAAATTTTCGCGTTAAAAGTTTTTCCATTATTAAATTTTTTGCTGAATTTAATGCTTAACCCTTTACAAAAATAAATTCTATTACGAAACTTTATTAGATTTTTTTATTATATAACTTTATTTCGTACTTAAAAGAATTGACCTAAATTTTGTGCATTTTAACTATATAATAATGTATACTATATATATAATTAACAATTTTACATCTTTTATAATAACACTCTCAGTTCGCACTTTCTTACATTTCGCTCATAACACAAGTCATTCCACTGGCAAACGATTAATACTTAATTTAGCTGATAAAATCGTGAGTCATAAAGATGCGCGGTTGCGACATGTATGATTCATTCTGGAACGTTGCAAAAGCTTTCATTCTATATTTTACAGTAAAACGAATTAGCAGTTTTGTAAAAGTCACTTAACAGTTTTACGAGTTGAGGCTGAGCAAAAGACGCGACATCGGCAAACACTATAATGAACTCTATGGCAAATAAATTTATTCCAATCACGCGCATCCATCGCTACTGATCAACGTGAATCTACTGAAGAGTCGTGAAATTTGCAACATTACTAGAAACCAATTCTTTTCTTCTAACGAAAATAAAGTCAAATCCACAGTGTCAGCTTTATGAAGATAGTCAAAATGCTCGTAAAAATTTCCGAAGAATTTCCGAAGATTCAACTACATAAATTAAAATACTATTTTATTTTTAGTGTTACAAAAAAATTGTATCTAAATAACTAATTCTAGTAATTATTATCAATTATAATAGAACAATTATTTTCATGACTTTGTCATCTTACATCTTATTCTATTTTTTTTAAGCAAAAATATATTGATGCTACAGGAAGCACTACAATGTATAATTATCATAATTAGTATGTTGTAATGTCTTTTCTATGTATTTATATAGCGTTATTTTCTTCTATGGATCCTAG